CTTTGCTCCCGTAAAGATGTCTTTTGACCTTAAACATAGAAAGTGAGTCACAGCCAATAAGAAATGTTTGGCTGTGATAAAGAATACAATTGAGCCTGCAATAATGGGCTCAATTCCAGACTGTGACACGATCATAGAGTATCTAGAAAGAATAAAGAGTCAGTTCACTGGCTCTTCAAAGACATATGCAACCTAGCTGATCAAGCAGTTGGTGACAGAAAGGTACTCTGGTGGCGGCAGTGGCATTAGAGAGAACATACTGAGAATGAGCAATTTGGCATCTAAGCTCAAACCAATGTATTTGGCTCTCAAGGATGAGTTTCTTATTCATTTGATTTTTGCTTGTTTGCCAAAAGAATTTGACACTTTTGTTGTTAATTACAACATACAGCCCAAGAAATGGGATTTACAAAAGCTCATAGCCATGTGTGTGCAGGAGGAGGAAAGAATAAAAGTTTCATAGGGTGGTACTATCAACTACCTAAAAGATAATAAGAAAAAGAACTATAATAACAACTCTTCCTCCAAGTTACCTGGAAAAGGTCCCATGCTGCATAAGCCTCAACAGAACTAGTTCACAGTAGAGAAAGACCAGTGTCTCTATTGTAAGAAGACGGGACATTATAAGAAAAATTGTCCCGATTACTTAAAGATGATCATGGCAAGGAAAGGTGAGAACATTATTACGTTCATAAATGAATCCCTATATGTACAGTATTCGAAATCTACTTGGTGGATTGACTCAGGTGCAACTGTTCATGTTGCTAATTCTTTACAGGGATTCCGTTCGACGAGGACTACGGAAAGAAGCGAAAGACACGTTAAAGTAGCGAATGGAGTCCAAGCAAAAGTTGAAGCCATTGGAGATCTTTCTCTAGAGCTTGCTGATGGTTTCAAACTTATACTTAGAGATGTTCTTTATGTTCCCTCGTTACAGAGAAACTTAATAGGTGTTTCATGTTTGGACAATGATGGATATGATTGTCATTTTGGAAATGGCAAATGTAAGATAACATTTAATGATGCATGTGTTGGTCTTGCTATCTTACAAAATGAGCTTTATTTGTTATCACTACGTGATGATGTGAATGTTGTATGCGATGATGGGAACGTTGCGTGTGATAATGTGAATGTATCCTCATCTACGAATGTAAATAGAAAACAAAAGAGAGCTCATGATGCGTTGTCAAAATTATGGCACTGTCGTTTAGGCCATATTTCGAGGGGGAGAATAGAAAAACTAGTTAAGAATGATATTCTTCCTCCATTAGTGCTCTCAGATTTAGAACAATGTAGAGATTGTACAAAAGGAAAGTATGTAAAGAAAATTAAGAAAGATGTCAAACGAAGCGCAGGAATTCTATATATTATTCACACAGACATCTGTGGTCCCTTTGCTGTAAAGAGTGTGGATGGTTTTGATTCATTCATAACATTCACAGATGATTACTCCCGTTATGGCTACATTTATCCAATCAAAGAAAGAACAGAAGCATTGGATAAATTTAAGATATTTAAGGCAGAAGTAGAAAACAAACACAATTTAAAGATTAAGATAGTCAGGTCCGACCGTGGGGGAGAGTACTACGATCGACATACCCCATATGGCCAAGTTCCTGGACCTTTTGCAAGGTTCTTACAGGAGAATGGCATAGTAGTACAGTATTCTACACCGGACGAACCTCAGCAGAATGGAGTAGCTGAAAGGCACAATCATACCCTGATGGATATGGTGCGCAGTATGATAAGTTACTCCACCTTACCGATGAGCCTATGGATGGAGGCGTTAAAAACCGCCATTCATATTCTCAATAGAGTACCAAGTAAGTCGGTGCCCAAAACACCGTATGAGTTGTGGACAGGAAGAGTACCCTCACTAAACCACTTACGTGTGTGGGGGAGTCCTGCTGAGACTAAAGTATTTAACCCAAACATTGGGAAGATAGATCCCAAAACAGTGAGTTGCCATTTCATTGGTTACCCAGAAAAGTCAAAAGATTTTCGTTTCTACTGTCCAGATAGACATACAAAGTTTATGAAAACAAGACACGCAGTCTTCCTAGAGGATAAAATGATAAGGGGGAGCATAGTAGCTCGAGAAATTGACCTTGAAGAGAAGCGGGTGTATGCGCCCACTCCAATGATTTATGAGCCATTTTTCTCACTAACTGCTGTCGCTGCACCGACAGTGCAAGACACTGTGGTGCCAGCACCTATTATTATCCTGCCTGTGGCAACAATGAATAATGATGAGGAACCTGTTCTTCAGGATCCTGTAGAACCAATTGCCACACATGAGGGGGAGCAACAACAGCCTCGAACAGAAGATGTGCCAAATGTGCAGGCCCCTAGAAGGTCTCAAAGAGTTAGAAAATCAGTTATTCCTACTGATTATGAAGTGTATAACACTGAAGAATTTCAAATGGAGGATGATCCCACCTCATTTGAAGAAGCCATTAGAAGTGAACATTCATCAAAGTGGCTTGAGGCCATGGAAGATGAAATGAAATCTATGAATGCCAATAAAGTTTGGTATTTGGAAATAATTCCTAAAGGAGCCAAAACAGTAGGCTGTAAATGGGTCTACAAAACAAAACTTGACTCTCAAGGGAATATAGAGAGATATAAAGCGTGCCTTGTGGTAAAAGGCTTTACGCAAAGAGAAGGGATTGATTACAATGAGACCTTTTCTCCAGTCTCATGTAAGGATTCCTTCAGAATCATAATGGCATTAGTGGCACATTACGATTTAGAATTACATCAGATGGATGTAAAGACGGTATTTCGCAACGGAGACTTAGAGGAAAACGTTTATATGGCACAACCGAAAGGTTTTGTCATAGAAGGAAAAGAACGAATGGGATGCCGCCTAAAGAAATCCATTTATGGATTAAAACAAGCTTCAAGACAGTGGTACTTGAAGTTTGATCAGACAATAAGAAATTTTGGGTTTAAAGAGAATGTAGAGGACAATTGTGTCTACACAAAGTTTAAGAATGGGAAGTTCATCTTTCTTGTCCTGTATGTGGATGATATCTTACTTGCTAGTAGTGATGTCAGTCTACTACTGGAAACAAAGAAGTTTTTATCCTTAAAATTTGATATGAAAGATCTTGGTGAAGCTTCGTTCTAGGGATCGAGATTCATCGAGATAGAAGTAAAGGGGTATTAGGACTGTCACAAAAGGCATACATAGAGAAAATCTTAAAGAAATTTAGTATGCACAAATGTAGTCCCTCACCTGCTCCTATAGTCAAGGGCGACAGATATGGGGATTTTCAATGCCCTAGGAACCAATATGAGATCAATCAAATGAAAGCGGTTCCATATGCTTCAGCTGTTGGAAGCTTGCAATATGCTCAAGTATGTACGCGTCCTGACTTGGCATTTGTTACCGGGTTACTTGGCAGATTCCAGAGCAATCCTGGAATAGAACATTGGAAATTGGTAAAGAAAGTCTTGCGTTATTTGTGAGGAACAAAAGGCCTTATGATGACATATAAAAGATCTGATTCACTCCATATAGTGGGATATTCAGATTCTGATTATACGGGAGATGATAGAAAATATATGTCTGAATATGTATTCACTCTCGCAGGGGGAGCTATTTTATAGAAAAGCTCAAAATAAACTGCCACTACATCGTCCACAATGGATGCCGAGTTTGTAGCGTGTTATGAGGCAACGGGGCAGGTGAACTGGCTAAAGAAGTTCATACCCGGTTTGAAGGTGGTTGACGACATCTATGGACCACTAAAGTTATACTATGATAATAATCCGGCAGTACAGTATGCTCACAACAATAAGTCAAGTGGTGCTGCCAAACACATTGACATAAAGTATTATGTTGTGAAAGATAAAGTCCGGGATCAAGTCATAAGTCTTGAGCATATAAGAACAGAAAGGATGCTCGCGGATCCACTTACTAAAGGCTTACCACCCAACGTGTTCAGAGAACATATAGCCGGCATGGGTTTAAGGGAAAGCCTATAATTCCTGGACAAAAAAGACCCAAAGATAAGTATCTATTTTAGAACAGAGTAGTGTGTTGTAGCTGTTAAATCTATCGGCAATGGACCGTGACGTTGAGACATGCTCTATGCGCTAATCTGTAATGGAATGAACAAAAGTAAATGATATAAAAGTGAAAGATGGAAAGAGATCAAAGGGAAGATTGTTAGATTGATCTCTAACCTAACTGGACCCAACGGCCCAGTTGGGCCTTTGATTCGTGCCCTGATCGGGGGCACCCAGCCCACCATGGCTGGAGGGCCCCTGTCATCCTGCGCTATAAAAAGAGGTGGGGGCCGACGGCTCTTATCACGAGGTTGACATGAGCCGAGCTCCCCACCGACACTCAAACCCTAATCCGATTAAGAGGGGCGCAGCCAGTGACGGGAAGCCACCAGCCGCGCCGCCCCGCTCCGACGACGCAACTACACCGACATCTTCCCGACCATCGCTGCCCGTGCGCAGACTGCATCGACAAACCTGATGGAGGCCACTGGATCTTCCACCCCTACGGTCTCAGGTTCGAATCCCTATCTCTCTATCTCTCTGTCTCCATCTCTCTCTGTCTAGATGTACTAGGGCTTGTTTGGATCAACTGGTTACCTAGAAGGCCCTCGGTTCTACCCTAGATCGATCCTATGGTTTTAACACTCAGTAGTCGATCAGTTCACATAACAACAGCACAAAAACAATCATCATCTGCGCATAACAGTTACAACGAGAAGGGCCTGACTAAAACTACAAAAGCTAAAAAGCTCACTCTCATACATTTTCATAACCTGATAAATCGAGGATCTGCATTCTTTATTATTTTTTTCGAAGGAACAGCAAAAACTTTTCCATAATTTTTATGAGATGAAGAAAATAAAAAGGCAAAGCATTCTTGATTATAGACTGCGCACACAGATGATTGTTGGAAAGGTGAAAAAGGATAATTGTCTACATGCACAATTGCATGCCGATTGATACTGCATTTGTTTCTTCGTATACTAGGGCGCACTTGTACCACTTTTGCCTTGGGTGGCAGGAAGGTGTCCATTGTTTGAGCAGCTTAGAAGATCTGGAAGTCTTCTCAATTGTGGTCCTCCAAGTGGTCTCCCATTCAGGCATTTTGGCTTTATATCCTACGTTGGAAAATGAAATGTTATGCACTTCAGTTTTAAAAGGAAACGATCAAATTTCCCAAGGCCCAAAAATAAGCACGTACAGGTCAATCTGCCTATAGCCCTGTATTTTTAATCTCGAAGAAGTAAGCAATGTCAATCTGCCTATAGCCTGGTGCTTGGCTAGCTACAAGCACCTAAGGACCCTGATGGCGGAGACTTGATCCCAGAGTAGCTCTTCTTTGTCGCAAAATTCATGATTGTGTAATCACACTCGCGTGCTATGCTCTGCTTGTGTAGCTTCTGGCTTCGGTAACCTTGGATTACCGTGGCCATAAGGATTGTAACAAAACTCCTTTCTGCTTAATGAAAAACGTGCTTCGGCACGATCGCTAAAAAAAATCTGCCTATAGCCCTGTACTGAAAACAATATGTTTCTTCTCCCCTGGTTATTGTGACTTCTTCATGAAAACTTTTGGAACAAATATTTACAGCTTACAAGTTGTTCTTACATTTTGCCTAACAGTAACTGTCAATGGAAAAGTGTATTCTATAATATTTTGAATCTCTTTTTATATTGACCGTATCATAAGAAATAGTTAGGTGGGTGATGCATGCCACTGACCAAATGAACCATGCTTACTCACATAAGCTATTTTCATTTTTCAATAAATGGAGAGGGTAATATAAATCTAGTCTTGTTGAACCCTGAACCTTGCCCAGCTCACGTTAATCAGCATCAATATTGTGTGGTTTGTTTGTACAGCCTACTCATGAACTCACAAGATGCATTAACTTTTGTTTCTTCAGATATAACACGTAAAGTACCAGCAGCATATATCAGACACTTGGATCTAACATCAGAGTATCAGGCTAAAGGAATCAGTCACAATCTATATCAAAATTGTCTAACTAATCTATCGATGAACACTTTACACTTAAAAGGAGCAACAACAAATACAGTGCATATAACAGTAAAAAAGACCAAAGAAAATTGCGTTAGGCTGGACTCTTGGCAGCATACCTGGTCAAATATCGCCGTAGGGATGGCAAGAGTTGTTACAGCATTAGGAGAGTCTACTATTCCAGATATCCTACCCTCGCATGGGCAGCATGATAGTAAAAGATATACCTGTATAAAATCCCCAATCCCTGATGTTAAGATACTACTCAGCATGCATGATACTTAGAGATAATAGTTAGTTATCCTGCTTCCTACCTGCTCCTTAGAGTACCCAAATTTGGAAAGGTACTCAATGGCATTCAGAACTGCACGTTTGTAGGCAACAGATGCATCAAGAAAATGCTGCTTTCCAGACTCATCTACACTGATGCCCTCAAACACTAACCACTCTGAGAAACGTGGCTCGACAGGACCTATCTCAAAGATAGGGCTCACATGAAGTGGTGTTGGACCAACTGGGGTTAAGTATTCCTTCATCCCACCTCTTATGATCTCACACCTATACAGGGTGCAAGAAATTTTTATAAGCAGGCGACGAAAAGTTATTTTACATAGTCAGATTTTATTTATCCAATTGGCACATTCATAAGAACCGGCATGTAGATATGTGCTGGGTGTGTGGTTCAGAAATAACTGATTAGGACTACACACAAATGGAGTTTTACAATACCAGGGACGAACCCCTGCCCACTGCAAATGGATTGAGTTTGATCCCAATAAGTAATGCACTGTGCCATAATATATTAACTATAAATCACTAAGGCATGCATAACTCCTTGCGATGATAGGATAGAAGCATCAATTAAAGCAATTCCATGAAACACAATATGCCAAAATCTGACAATAGACCTTTCTAATCCTATGAGTTCACTTATTCATATTGTACATGTGCTATCTGAGAAGTGCTATGCAAGAAGCACTGAAGATGGCTGGTGCTAGTATTACTGAACTAGTATCTTTATAAAATATGACGGAATCTTAATCTTAATATTAAGTTTCCTAACACTGGTGGATCCAATTTTGATGCAATTGGCTGTTTTAGTCCATCCTTAAAGGTCTGCTAGATGAATGTGAGATGTCAGACACGTCCATAAAACATTGTGTATCATGTAGTACTGAAGTGTAAATAAGAACAAGATTTATTACTTGAGATCAAGGAATCCGCTCATTTCAATTGCTCCACACAACGAAATTTCGCCATCGCCCTGGGAGAAGTGCATATCACCAGTGCTAAGGTTTGCTCCTTCAACAAATACTGGTAGATAAACTTTGGAGCCTCTGCTTAGATTCTTTATGTCACAATTCCCGCCATTTTCCCTTCCAGCAATAGTTCTGGCTGCTTCATTTGCAATTCTGTGCCATTCAGCAGTCCCTTCTTGGACCTGCATCGCATTGTATTCATTACAAACATGGCACTGCAGCCAAACACTTTAGATCTGCTAGCTTAATATCTACATACAAAACCTTTTACTTGTGCTCTAGGAAATGTAAAAAGGTTGAAGTGAAAAACAAATGATCATGCCTTCCCAAGTAAGCAATTCTCAGGGGTCGGTAAAGGAACAAGGGGCCTCTGGTGTAGAACTTCACACAGTTTAATAGTCTCTGGGCTTGTCTCAGACAATCTTTTTTCTCTTTCATTCCAAATATTAAGAAGCTCAACTGATGGTGCAGTTCCCACTACACCAGGATGAGTTATTCCTGGAAAACGAACACCTGGTACATGCCAAAATCAAATTATTGAAGGATCCAAATCTGGAAAGCTTCATTCACAGCAACAAGAAGAAACTATACCTGGTATCTGAGGGGAGTATGCGTAAATTCCTTCGAAATACCAAATGGCTTTTCTTGCGCTTGGGAAGTGGTCAGTTAAGAATCCACCTCCATTCTCCCTTTCAAGTATTGCAGTATAACCCCACTCATCGCCAGGAAGTGGGCCAAGGTTGCAGATCTCTACCGCAAGAAGATCACCTGGTGAAGCTGGAACCCCTTCAGAATCAACTATTCTTAATGGCCCACTAAGATAATGAGCCTGTGGAATATCTATAGTCAGTTTGGTTCACAATGGAAGCACTGGAACAAAGGGAAAATTAAATGACAGGTCAAGCAGAAGAAAAAACAGACTTACAATTGTGAAATCCATGAATTTCATATCATCTGCAGAGTTATCATCCTTAACCCGCCCTCCACTCCAATCGACCATCTCAACACGGAACAATTCCCCTTCAGTTACATCAGCAACAGGAGGGATCTCCGGATGCCAGCGGTTATGGAGAGGGACCTTTTGCTCCCATGGTTGCTTCTTCACATCTATGGGCACTACCAGTCTAGGAGTCAGAGGAGCCATGTTTCATTACAGTATCTCCTCAAGAGCTTCTTCCCTTTGGAAGCTTTGTGCAGCTTTATAGTGGTAGGATAGGAATGTTGATGAATCTGCTAATGGTAAAAACAGGTGTTTGGAGTTCCGAGTCACTATCAAATCAATCACTATAAAATCAGGTAGGAATTTATTCTTTGATCTGACCCATCCCCATAGACTATCCAGAGCTAAGACGGTGATGTATTTTCTTGTTCTAGAGGCTAGAGCAGTACCAACCAGCTTGGCTTGGTCTCGTCCATTTTGTGTTTTCCACAGGCTACAACATGCAACATGCAACACTTATGTACACTGGTGCACAAAATTGTTTTTTTGGCAGTATGCCAATGTAACCCGAATTTCCATCCCCGCAACTCTAGGTGATGCCACACTCACACACAAAGTTTTCCTTCCTGCTAAACTGGACAACACCATACAAGATGGGATAATATAGAGCTGGCTTCTTTTGACAAAAATCTGTAACTTGCTAGTATGTACTCCCTCAATCCCAAATTATAAGTCATTCTAAGAATTTTGGAGAGTCAAATCATCTCAAGTTGGCTAAATTTATATGATAAAATAATAACATTTATGATGTCAACTAAGTATCATTAAATTTCTCATTAATTATATTTTCATAGTATACTTATTTGATGTCATAAATCTTCATAATTTTCTTTATAATTTTGGTCAAACTTGAAATTATTTGACTCTCCAAGATTCTTATAATTTGGAACGGAGGGAGTACTAACAGTGTGTGTCGGTATCTTGTGGAAGGTAGAGTGGATCTGTCACAATTGCTACTTCGCTCCAGCCACTGCCTGGTTCTTTCATATTATAGAGGGTTTTTTTGTCCGGTGGACACCACTGAAGCGTGGCTCTGTGCCAAGCACACTCAAATTGTCATTCCAGGGCAATGCTACGGTACACCCTTTACTTGTTATTAGGAGGTAATACCTCAAGTAAATCTGAGCCATTAATTCTTTAATTTCTTTTTGAAGTAGTTAACGAATTAATCAACCTGGAAAAGAAAAAAGACGTTGTCAAATCCTCTAATCATGAGAGAGAATCAGGAGCACACGGCGCTTTCCTTTCCATGCCCATGGCCTCTTCCTTTTGGGCTTAACGTGAATACCCTACTATTTTAGTTCCATTTTTATTTTTTGCTAATGTATACATGTACATGTAGGTTCTATGTATAAAAGTTTTTAGCAAAAACAACGAGTATTCAACTAAATACCCTGAATAAATATTTTAATCTACTCATATATGAATGAAGTTATTTTATATATTTTTAGTTTTGATATTTTTGTCTTAAAGATGGCTAAATTTACAGAAATCGGCTTAATCCTGCTTTCACGTGTTGCTTTTGGAAAGCAGTAGCTATCACGCTTGCATGGTGGATGATGACTAGGTTTAGAAGCAAACCAATAATTGATACATGTCTCACTTGATGATGAACGTTGAACGGCTTGTTTCCAAACAAACTAGCCAAGAACCATAAATACTAGGGCACCACCTATTGTTGTATCAGTAGATGCACAATAACATGTGGTTGGAACTTGGAAGAGAGTTGTCGGTGTTTCGAACAAACACCGGCTAGTAAATTTATAATTATGCGCGTTAGGCCCGGATGGTGCGCTAAAGGACACAAGGTTTATACTGGTTCGAGCTGAATGTCCCTACGTCCAGTCTGTTGCTGCTCGTGTTATTAGCGCTGAAAGCGGTTCGTAGTAGAGGGTACAAACGGTCGAGAGAGGGACTGGTCCCAGATCTCTAATGGAAGGGTCGAAAGGAGACCAAGAGCCTGACTGTGGCTTGGCTGTGTATGTGAGTTGAACTGAACCCTCTATGAGTTCGTCTGTATGTGAGTTGTTCGTTGAAAGTCGGTCCCTCTAGTGGGGAGCCCTGCCCTCCCTTTTATAGACCAAGGGAAAAGCAGGGGTTACAGATGGGAGAAAAAGGAAAATACCAAGAGTATAGAAGGTCTTTCGAAGGATTCGGGTCTTCCTTTTTTCCTGCGCCTGCCCTGTATAATATGGCAGACAGTGTCAGAAGTGGCGTGTCCGCTAATCTTCGTGGGCCATGCCCTGGCCCCTTTTAGCAAGTGGGCATGTCCCGTCCCGCCTTTGCGGGTGGTGTGTTGATCTGCGTCGAGAGCGGAAGGCGCAGTGACTGCTCGTTTGCCACTATAGAGGACGGGAGTCCCCCCTTAGAACGTAGTGGTTGTCGTATGTCTGTGTCGGACTCCTCGCCTGGGGACTGAAGGCGGCGCCTACAACACTGTAGGGTGGAGAGCACGCGCCTGCAGCACTATTCAGGCTCTGCTACGCCTGGAAGGGTCTAAGCGCATGTCCCGTCATGCCCTGGCGGTATTCTCCTGTAGGGGCGCAAGGCATGGTCCTTGATGCCGCGGTTGACCCGAACATCTTGTCCTACCCTGTGCCTAGCATCATGAGGGAGCAGGGTATAGTTGTCAGGCGAGGCGAAGCCAATCCTTGGACATCGGGCGAGGCGGAACCCAGCCCTCGGGGGTCGGGTGAGGCGGAGCCCAGCCCTCGAAGGTCGGGTGAGGCGGAGCCTAGCCATCGGTGGGTCGGGTGAGGCGAAGTCTAGCCCTCAGTCCTCGGTCGAGACGGAGCCGTCCCCCAGCCGTTGGGGGAGGCGGAGCTGGCCGACGGGCCTCGGGCAAGGCGGAGTCTAGCCCTCAGCCCTCGGGCGAGGCGGAGCCGTCCCCCAGCCGTCGGGGGAGGAGGAGCTAGCCGACGGGCCTCAGGCGAGGCGGAGTCTAGCCCTTAGCCCTCGGGCGAGGTGG